GTGGCTGGATAACCACACTTCTGGTAACATGGGGCGCGGCCTAATGTGCTAATGAGCTGTGCTATCAGGGGTGTGGCCCAATATGCTAATGAGTTCCTGCTGTTGGGTGTGGCCTATTATGCTAATGAGTTCCTGCTGGGCTTTTTCTACAAAAAGAGCCCTGATCCACCTCATTTACCAAAATGGTTTGGAGGATAACCTCAACAATGCTCCGATAAAATAGGAATGTCAGTTATGGAATTTATACAGCATTATACTGATGTGCAGGTGGACAGGGGGACCCACATCAGATAATCTGGTGGTTTGCACAAACCATGGAGTGCCTAATGGATAGATATGTTCACGACTGCCTGTGTTCTTTCATTATTTTATGGTGGGGGAAGATTTAACTGATTTAAAGAAAATTAATGAATGTCTATTTGTGTCTATGTGATGAACACCTTATACTTGTCAACTGCTGGTTATCCATCCAGTAGTGGAGTCCTCAGCAAAGTTACACCCTTCTCTGCTCATTGACTTGAATGGGCTTAAAGGTAAAGGTAAAGGTTCCCTTGCTCGAAAGCCAGTCGAATCCGACTCTAGGGTTGCGGTGCTCATCTCCGTTTCAAAGCCGAAGAGCCAGCGCTGTCCGGAGACGTTTCTGTGGTCATGTGGCCGGCATGACTAAACACCAAGCCGCACGGAACGCTGTTACCTTCCCACCGAAGTGGTACCTATTTATCTACTTGCAATTTCTTGCTTTCGAACTGCTAGGTTGGCAGGAGCTGGAACTAGAGACGGGAGCTCACCCCGTCTTGCGGCCCCCGGGTCTTGAACTGCTGAACTACTGACCTTCCACAGCCTGCAGTTCAGCGTCTTAACCACTTGAGCCACCGCAGCTCTTGAATGGGCTTAGAAGGGTGTAAATCTGCTGAAGATTTCACTGCCAATCATTCTGCAAAGCTATTCCATTAGTGTAGCATGGATAGCTTGAAGATGGTCTTGCAAATGAAAAGATTTAGGCTTGGGAAGTTATTACTGCTCTGATTTTATACCTCTAACACTGCCACATTTTTTGGAGTATTGTTCTTTTAACAGAGTATGTTTTAGAAAATAATGTTTAAATTAAAATCTAGGAATTGTATCTCTGGTTTCTATGAGTTGTATATTAATGGTCCTTAGCCTCATCCCACTCCTTCGGTCCATGCTGGTCAACTAGCCCAGTGACCACTGTCTACTTTTTGAGAACATCTCCTGTCTAATTACTTTCATGCTTGGCCAAAGAACTGGTGCCGTCTTTATCTTCTGGGGCCCTTAGAAGGGATAGGCCTCCTTGACAAAACATGACTACTTCAGTAACAGCAGCTGTACGTATAAGAACTATATAGCCCTTGAGTGCTCACAGTTTAAAAACACATCTCTAAAGGAGATCTTTATGGCAGTCCAAAAATCCTTTTCAGGGTTTCCAATATCTAAAACCTGTGAACAAACAAAAGGAAATGTTTCTTGTGGAATGCATATCTGGCCACTTTTAAGTGATTCTTAAAAGTTATGTCTTTCACAGATAACTTCAATATATGCTCCCTTGCTTTCTTCTCTCTTCCCATGCCTCAAATACTTTCTCTCCCAACTGATAAGTTTAATCAGAGCAGACAGCAGAACAAGATCTAGTAGTGATTCCTCCTTCAGCTTCTTCATTCCTTCTGTGTTTGTGTTTATTTTGTTTGGGTGACCATTCCAACTCCATGTTTACTTTGTCAAAGTTCCTTGAGAAATCTGACAGACCCAAACCCATCCATACGTTATTTCTCGGGGGGGGGGGGAGGGAGGTTAGACATGGTCCTACTGACACACTAATACAAAACATAAAACACAGGCCTCGAAGCATTTCAAATTATAGACTTGGCTTTCCCCTTCAGAAAGGTTGGCCAGGCCTGCCTCAGATAGACAGTATATCTTATTCCCAGCCTTCACACTGTAATTAGAAAAGGAAATCATGCCT